ATACGTGTGTGTTTGCAGCATTGTATTCTTCCTCAGACAGACATGCAGGCCACAAGTTATTGTCAAGTTCGCGTTTAGTTAGGACTGAAGAGTAAAATAACCCAATCAGCTTTCAATATTTTTGCTTGTGTTCAATTGAAAGGCATGTTCAGAGTGAAATAGATGACATCACAAGTGACGACAGGTGGGCGCTGTACCTTGATAAGCTGAATGAGGCAATATGGCCAGGTGGAAAGCTACGAGAAGACTCAGAAAAGCCTAAAACTGAGATAGAGAAAGAACGAACACGGAAGAAAGCTGCTCAGGCCCTCATGGATGCATTCCCAGGTACACTTAGTTTTCACCTTTTTAAAATATTTCAGAATGTTCACGTTCCTCTGTGCACAGAGTAAGAGAAAATTTGAATGATTCACTTGTTCTTCAGACAACCTCTCAGAAAGTAGTTGGTTGTCCTAAACCAAAAGGACTTAGATGAAAATTATCCTTGGAAATTGCAAAGAAAGAAAGTGAGAGAACATGTAAACATGGACTTTTGAGAAGAAAATTTGCAGTCTGTTTTGATTCCTGTTGTCAAGTAAGAACCATCCTTAATCAGGATCAACACAGACAGATTTGCTTCACAGCAGAGTTTTTGGTATAATAACTGCATTATTTCATTGACAGTTTGAAAAGCCATTTTGTGTAGACCTGTAAACATTTTGATCATTTTTTTTAAGCAGAGTGCCTTGGCCACTTTGCCTTACAGATGTTTTGCCAAGTTCAAAAGTGGCATACAACAATTTTCTGTAGGATTTAGTGAGTTCACTTTCAGCGAGCTATTTGTTTGTTTACATATAATCATGGATTTTTTTGAGAAAAATGAACCACTCAAATCTAGCCTGCAGTGGAGGCGTATTTTGGGCAAACGAGTGCAAATTTTTGTATTAAGCCACCATCTTGGATTTGCCTGCCCCCCTTTCCCCGCCCTCTGCCCCAAAGCTCTACTGGTCAAGCATCCAATTACAATCCAAGATGGGTGCATTGAAAACCTTCTGTATCAAGCATTCCATTTTAAAATAATGCCTGCACTGCAGACTGATTTGAATCTGTTTGAATCATATCTATGAATTTTGTAAATAAAATGACTGAACGTTGAATACTTTCTAGGTTTTATTATGCTGTTATTTGGTTCTCGAGTTTATCATCAGACTGCTGTAAATGTTATTGACTCCATGCAGTACCCACAAATCAACAAGTATGTTTGTTTCAATATCTGGTAGCATAAATGCCCTGATATTAGTATTACAGTGACAGTTGAGTACGCCTTTGGTTGTTAATGGACCAATTTGATATATTAAAATTCAGCCTAACACAATAGACCTCAGAACGAGGCTCTGGGGAATAAACCCCACAAACTCTGTAGTTATTCCCGAGAGCCTCGTACTGGGGTCTATTGTTTTAGGCTGAATTTTAATATATCGAAATTGGTCTATTTAGAACCTGATTTAATTCTACATACATGTAGATGGAGTCATCACGAGGGATTGTTCCTCTCAGCTATGTACATGTATTATACCGGTAATTATTAATTAAGAAACTGAGTTTAGACCATTTTTATAGAAAAAACATACATGTAACAAAAAAAAAGGAGAAAAAAAAATGAATTCATAGCAAAAAGCATGGTCAACACTGAAACAAATGAAGGATGTTGGTGATCTGTGATATTAACTACTGTAATCACACCAAACCTTTGCACTCCTGGATATTTAATGCAGTACTATTTTCCAATAGGATCTTGTTGTACACATTGCTGGAGTTGCTGTTGTCAGAGTTTGTTCCAGAAATCCAAGATACCTTGCAGTTCTACAAGCACATTACAACACAAAAGTAACTTCTAATGGAACAATAATTTTTGAGATGAAGTACCAAGGATTGATCATTATTAATATTAGGGTTTTATTTATATTTTTGATTATTGTTGTTTATGGGGATGAGCCAATTCAAGTATATTCAAGTTTATTTCATACTATTCTTTATACTAAAAATTAATATAGGTATATTTAAAATGGTGTCAGCTGTTGTTTCACTGGGATTTTATGTGTTGTAGAGGCAAACAAGCACATGTTTTGTTGGTTGGTTGAAATTATTTCTTAATGTTGATCAACTTCTTCAGCCAAAAATGTTGGATCTCCCAGGAAAATTCACTTACTCAACAATTGCAACCACTTTTGGTGCTCTTTGACATAGTTAATTATCTAGAGGGGTTTTGTTTTAAGATAGAATGGAAAACCCAACCAACATAGCCAGTGTAAAATGTTTGATCTCATCAGGGCAAGATATTAGTTATAACATTGCATGTTTACACTGCAATAAAGTGATTCTCCAAAATGTTGATGTACTAAAATATTTGTTGTTGTAGTTCAAAAAACCCGAAATACGTTTATGCATCCACCAAAAAGAAATCATACTGGTGTACATATAGTGAGCTGAAAGGATTGCCTGAGGTATTACACACATTCATGTATGTTTCAAGTAAATTTACCTTGAAATTCGATATGAATAACAACTTTCAGTAATAATGAATTATAAATTATTTATTTTTCAATTGAATTGACACATTTTAAAAAAGTTTAATATAAGAAGCATTTTTGGTTTTCATAACCACAGTTTTACCTCAGCTATTGACGTTATTTTCAATTTTAAGATGGAGAGTATTTTTCGTTACCTGGGTTGGGCTTCTTTTTACTATTTTTTTTTTTCACACAAACTAAAATGAATATGAATGTTCTATACCTGGCTTGTAATCATTTGTTTTACTTATTTGATATTTTAAGTCACTAATCTTACATGTTAAAAAGATCAAGCAGAAAATATTTTCCGCACGTTGTTGGCTGTAGTACACCAGAAGATATACATACCTCCCCCACGGATCCCTCCACCCATCCAGAAATGCTACTTAAGCTGCATACATTTATGTAACGATTTTGGTGTCCCTCTGGGAAATTGCCAATCCCTTCTGTGGGGGNAGAGGGGGATAATGGATATTTTTTGGAACTGTACGATAAGGTTAGCACTGTTCTGGGAGCAATTTTGATGCTTAACAACCTGCTGGAAGTATTCTTCTTATCCCAACATTAACAAGACCATGTTTGTCACACTTGTAAAGTAACCTTATTTGGTTTGTCACACAATGCTCCGTTCATCACGCAATACTTCCCTGGAAAAGGTGTGACATTTTCAATAATTGCTTAAAAGGGCAATATATAATGTACAGAGAGAGAGAGAGAGAGAGAGAGAGAGAGAGAGAGAGTAATTTATTTGATTGGGTACAATTGTAATGATATGTTTCTTCAAACAGAGATCCCAATATATTGAAAGTTAAAGGAATTTATTTAAGAAATATTATTTGAAATTTAGATGGTCAGATGGTTATTGTTAATATTCTAGATAACTGAAAAAGGCTATTGAAATATCCAGCCTACAGAATGAAGAATATCCCGAAAAAAGCAATAATTATAATGACTTTATAACTTAATTACATTTGTGTCACTGGTAATCACTGGAAAAACTGTGAATAAAAAAGGTATTGAGTGAACAATATTAATACAGAAAAAATAAGTAAACAAAATGTTAACTATAATGACGTTATGACTTAATTATTGTGTAACTGGTAATTACTGGAAAAACTGTCAATAAAAGAGATGTTATAGTAATGAATTAGAGTGGAAGAAAATTGCTGTTATGTACCCCTTCTCTGTATTTCAAAGTATCCATTCGTTCGTTCGTGCGTGCGTGCGCCCGTGCGAGCGTCCCTGCGTTCGTTCGTTCGTTTACACAACGCTGAATGAAGCGACTTATAGTAACTTTGTGGTGGCAGTGCGTCTCTTGATCAGACGTTTCGTTGCGTAATAAGCACTTGATCACTGGCTCCAAGGGAAACTGAGTTTTGTTTCTCCGAGAACCGCAATGCAATGTTCCCCCAGGCGAAGCCAGGTTGAGGGCCCCGGGGGGGGGGGGGTTACTCCCAGAAAACTTGGGTGGGGGTGTGCGGCCCGGTTCCCAAAATCCTTAACCTAATTATGACCAAACTCTGCGAATTTCCCTACCCTATTTCTGACCTGACCAAAAATTCGATACCATATTTATGGCCGTTGTGGTTAGCACAGTTGCTCTAAACATAATTTATGACGGGTTTTTGTTGATTGTCTTATCGATAATGATGAAAAAGTAGCTTCTTCTAAAAAACATACCCAATTCAAGACTAGAGTACATGGACCATACCCTATTTAAGACCAAAATGGCCAAATCGATGCCCTAGTTATGACAAAAGGGAGTTAGTGAGTTTTGACCTACGACACGTGACACGTTCTCTTCCAATCGGAAAACGTATTTGAGTTGGGAGGTGAAACAATACAATTTGGCGGAGAAACTTTATTTCTACGGTTAGGCCTACCGTCCGCACTAATCCGTCACAAAAACGCTCTTCAAACCGGAGAAATTTGAAAACGTAGCTTTATTTCTACGGTTAGGCCTAACCATCCACAGTGATCCGTCAAGAGAACGAAGCTTTTCCAAAACGCTCTTCAATTCGGCGGAATTTGGAAACGCCGGCTTTTCGTTTTCGTGTGGACGGAAAACAGTTTGAAAACGGAGCTATTCGAAACGATTTTGTCACGATAATCATGTGACTGACTGAGTTTTCGGTCCACAAAACCAAAATGACTGCTGATTGTTGCGTTTTTAAATTCCTCCGGCGTGGTGTGGACGGAAAACATTTGATGCGTTTTTAGAGCACCAATGTTGCTCGGGGTGATTTGAAAAATGTCTTGACCTGACTATAAAAACATGAAAACAGGCGCGCGCGGTGTTTATTTCACCTCATCACCGTTATGACATCACAAAAGGGATTCTTTTAAAGAAATGAAAAATTCACGTAATGGCTCGACAGATTAGTTCGGCCAAAAATCGTTCCTTCGCGGTTAAAGTTGTTTTTCCTTTTGATGAAACATTTGAAATAACGGATGTCTCAACTTCGATGACTGTGCTGGCCTTGAAAGATAGAATAGAGTTAGCAAGTGGCATTCCACGGTAAGTCTGAAAGATAATCTGAATCCTGATCTGAGATATGGTGCTTCGTTTTAACGCTGTTTGTTTGCGAAAAAAAGAAGAGAATTTGCAATTGTTTATGTCATCATTGTTCATTCATGCCCAGTGCATAAATCTAGAGTTTTGAAGAATAGTCGTCCAGGTAGATTTTTTTTTAAAAAAACAAGAAACTGAAAACAGGTAGCCTGTCCTTTTAGCTTCAAATTAAGACGAAATCCGATAGAAAATCGAGCAATTTCAGGTTTTAGTGGACAAAAATCTGGTACCAGAATAATTTTAAGTATTTAAAGGTCATTAGTATATTTTCTTAAAGGTAAATACATAAATAATTGCCTGAAATAACACCGAAAACAATTTCCCATGGAAACGAGAGAAAATGAACTTCAAAGTTCAGAGAACTTGTGCAACCACAGGCAAAATTTCATCATCAGTTTCATTTCACCAGTACTTTTAAGTGTTTCATACGAAGTTCAACATTCGTTTTCGACGTCTGGTGTTGCTAGAAATGATTTTTTTTGAGCAGATATTTAACAGTCGTACAGAAGTTTGCAATACGATGTGAATAATCTTGGTACTAGGTTTTTGTCCACTCGTTACTCAAACTTCTGGTGGATTCCGTCTTTACTGTTTTATAGTTTCCTGTTGCAAAATGCTGCAAGTCCGGTTGAAATTTTTGGAAAAATAAAACCTCTCCTCAAAACAATACAATATCTAATTATTTATGTTTTTCATAACGTATGTTTTTTTCTCAAAGTCAGGTACAGCGCTTGACATATTTAGATGACCTTGACATTGACGACAGAAAAAAGTTGTCGTTCTATCACGTGGTACCTAATTCAATATTCAAAGTAAAATGGTGGCCGGAATGGGGTCCGCTTATTCACGCTGCATATTATGGTGACGTCAAAGGTATGTGAAATCTCTATGTTAGAATCTCGCCTGGAAACTTGCTTAGCTGATCACTTTCAGAGAACGATAGGAAGCTCGTGCTTCTCTCAGATTGATAATCGCCGTTTCTTCGGGCACAAAATTGTTATGTTTGAATTTATAGAGCAATTTTTTTTTCTCTTCCTTAAAAACTATCATATAACGCGCACTTTTCGAGAGTGAGCAAATGGTTATAAATTATAAAAATGAATTGTCATTAATTAAGGGTCGAATCGGCCCAGATCGAGGCGGATCGAATTTTATTCGTAAAAGTTAACGGAAGTAAAAATGTGTGCTGTCTACTTGATCTAGCGTTACGCTTGCATTATTTGGTGTGGAGGTGTTTTCTTCGCACTAAACAAGTGACACGAGGCAGCCCAGGTCGGGGCCTTGGATTCAAATTTAACATTTGAGTTCACGCCTTTCATGTAAAAAAAGTTGAATCCATAGATTCAAAAAAGTTGATTTTTGAACAGGCGCGTGGAAGAAAATTTAGTGATAAACAATAGAGACAATAGTGTTTATGTCTCGGAACTATCGGCCTGATAATTACTCTTCGGAAATTTGATGTTCTTAAAACTAGCATATTAATATTTGCCCTCGAAGTTTTGCTCTTCGGACAAATACGATATTTGTTTAAAGAACAACAAATTTCGGCAGGGCGATTATCACGCGATAGTTCGAATTTCTACACAGCAACACTCCGGCTATTGTTTGAATAGAAGTCTGGAGTTCATAATCTAAATATGAAATAGAAACCGAGAAAATATTTTCTATTACAAGAACAGGTGTGATGAATTCTCGAATCAGAGAGACCATACGCGGGCACGGATGGTTTAGACGAACGATCTTCAACGAGCGTGGCTATGTAGCCCTGTATATTGCCAGCCACCGAGGTCATGCAGGAGTGGTATCAAAACTGATGAGTCTTAACATTCAACCATGTCGTAAGATGCCTTCAGGAAGATCAGCTATCCATGTAGCCGTCCACAAGAGAAGGGTGACTTGTGTAAATCTTCTAGTAGGTAGGTTGAAATCCGTCCACGTATCAGGCTTAAGTAACTTATGAACATAAGATTGTCTTTAAAATGATAAGAACAAATTAAAATAAACATTTTTTCATTCAACGCAACATTTGCGTTTCTTGATCATGATAAAAAAAAAAACAACCTCAAAGC